GCGGGGGACACGGGGCCGTGCGAGGCCTGTGGCAGCGGCATCCGCTTCGTGCCCCAGCAGATGAGCCTGGTGCAGGGAGCACTGACTGTCACCAACCTCCTGGCACACACCAACTACTCCTTCTGGGTGGAGGCCGTGAACGGCGTCTCCGACCTCAGCCTGGAGTCCAGGAGAGCCGCGGTCGCCAACATCACGACAAACCAGGCAGGTAGGAGGAGCAGACACCCCCCATCTCCAGCCTTTGCCTGTGTGGGTGATGCTGATGTTGCTCTGATGTCGCTCCAGTGTCTGCATGGGCCAGAACCTGCTCTAACAGCAAAGGGCTGGTTTGGTGATGGGCTTGGAACCCCCGGGAGATGTGACCCCTGTCCTCTCTGCTGCTGGAGGTGGGTTCAGGGAGCTGAGGTGGGACAAGCTGCTGCTCAAGGCACCTCTTACCCTTCTCTGGTTCGTGGTGTCCTTTTTCCTCCCCCTTCCCTTCCAGCTGCTGTTGGAGGCTCCTTTTTTTCTGCAGGAGACAGGAGCATAGATAACACTTTTTTATTGACAGGAACACTAAGTGGAGCATGAATCTTTCAGGCTGTTCCTCCAACCTTCTGTCCCTTCCCAAAGGGCTGGGCAGCAGTTCGTGCTCTGCTCTTAGCTCACACCAATGCCAGGCCCTGGCAGGTGACAGCAATGTTTGCTTAGAGAAGTATCTCCTATACATATCTCACCTCTGCAAATCCCCTGCTGCAAAATGCTATTTCCCCAGAAAATTCCTCTGAACAGTGCTCCAGCCCAGGTGGGACAGGACTTTGCTCCAGGGTCACCTGGGCATCTCCCAGAGCCCTTTTCCATGGAGCACATTGTGGGCAGAGAGATCAGGGTAGGGAGTGACATTCCTTGTCAATCCTCCCAGTTTGAAATGAGCCCACAAGAACTTCCTGTGATGCTGAACCCCTTCTGCTCTCATGGCAGGGGTGTCAGTGGGAGAAACTTGGGGAGCCTCACTGCAATAGCTCATGACTGGCATGAGAACAGGCCCTTTTGTCACTGATGCCAGCCTGTGGCACTTGTGCAGCACGTGGAATTGGCTCAGTCCTGCTGGCTTGATCCCTCTCAATCCCCCCAAGTGGTGATGAGCTGCCTCAGCCTGATGCCTCGGAGGGAGATGCTCTCAGGAAGTGCTGAATATTCCCATTTCAACCTCCCTGCTGCAAAGTGCTGCAGGTGCTGTGAAACCAGCAGGATTGGGAATTTGGTAGTTTGTCTGCCATGCTGGGCAGAGCTCCAGCTGCTGCACATGGCAGAGCACCCCTGCATTCCAGGGTGGCTGAGGAACCCCTGATGCCCTGCACGGGGGTGCTGCCCGTGCTGGGTGCTGGTCACCCTTATCCCCCAGCCCCGAGGGCTGGGCAAGGCTGAGGCAGATGCAGCACAGATGCCCTGGGGCTGCTTGGAGCAACAGCATTGCATGTGCCCATGGAGTTTAACTAATTCCCACCATCCCACCCTGTCCCATCTGCCCAGGGTACTGTGCACCAACAGCGTTTTCTGCTTCTCAGAGGAGGCAGAACTGAGCTAAAACTGCTGCTTTTCAGTCCCTGGGTACCCCACTGCTGCTGCAGCCCCTGTGGCCTCTTTTAGTCTCTGTGCTGCTCCAGTGACACCCCTGTGCTGCAGCCACAGCCACAACAGCTCTGTCTTCCCTGGAGCTGCCACATCCCGTTTTCCCCCATCAGTTCAGCACAAAAGAGGTGCCTCAACCCTTCCAGTGAGCTGGACCCAATGGCTGCACCTGGCCATCACAGCACTCACTGCACTCTCTGGGGAACTTCCAGTGGGAAATTTTCCAGTGGGAAAAGAGGCTGGTGAGTTGGTTCCTCCAGCTGTGACAGCTCCAGTTGGGGCATGGCAGGTTCAAGAACTGATTCACAGGCTACCAGCTCCAGCCTGGGAAGGTGACAAGTGTCCCAGGGCAGGAAAGCACACCCAGGTCACCTTTAGACTCATGCTCAGACCCTGACCACCCCTCTGGGCATTTATCATCTCCCCATTCTCTCCTCCCCGCCCCTCTCCTGTTACCCCATGTGGGACAAGAGGGGTCAGGGTCCTGGTAGAGACCTCCATGATGGAACCCCACATGGTTGGAACCCCACTGCCCCTTCTCCTTTCTGGCTCCAGATCACAACAAAGCAGCAGTGTCCCCTCCTGCCTGTGCTGGGACAGTGCCCTCCTCTCATCTCCTCAGAGCTACTTACTCCATGGGACAGAGATGGAGGGAGCTGAAGCAAGGAAAAGCCTGTTTTCAGCTCCCATCACAGCACTTGGCTCCACATGGCTTTAATTAAACCAGACACCTGGTTTAAACCAGGGGTCCTGCCTGGGGCTCCAGTTCCACCCTTCCCTGCTGCTGTCTCCTTCTGTCCCACCCACCCACAGTACCCCCTCAGCAGACCCCTAACATGCTGTGTCTGCATCCCCAGCCCCTTCACAGGTGGTGGTGGTGCATCAGGAGAGCACGGGCCAGAACAGCGTCACCTTGCTGTGGCAAGAGCCAGACCAGCCCAATGGCATCATCCTGGAGTACGAGATCAAGTACTACGAGAAGGTAACGCTGAACCTGCTGCTGCAGACCAGTCCCTGCCATCAGCCAGCCTCGCACAAGAGGCTCCTTTGGAAGGCTTTGTGCTCGCTGTGCTGGTGCAGTGAGGTTTTTGGTGCTGCTTTTTTTCCCCCCAGGACAAGGAAATGCAGAGCTATTCGACTCTGAAGTCCAAGAGCACCACTGCCACCATCTCTGGGCTCAAACCTGCAACCCGCTACATCTTCCAGGTCCGGGCTCGCACCTCGGCCGGCTGCGGGAGGTTCAGTCAGACTGTGGAGGTGGAAACAGGGAAGCCAGGTGAGTGTGTGCAGTTCTGGCGTGTGGGAGTGTGGGGCAGGGAGCATGGAGGATGGTGATGCCCTTCTCTGTGGCCAGTGTTCCTCTGGATGTGCCTGGAGGCACATCTCCCAGCGTTTCAGCCTGAAGGGATTGCTTGAGGTTGCCCTCCTCAGATACTTAGGACAAGAGGAAACAGTGTCAGGAAACAGGGGAGGTTTAGATTGTATATTAGGAAACATTTCTTCACTGAAAGGGTGGTCAGCCATTGGAACAGACTGCCCAGGGCACTGGTGGAGTCACCATGCCTTGGAAGTGTTTAAAAGGCATGTGGTTGTGGCACCTGGGGACAAGGTTCAGTGATGGGCTTGACAGTGCTGGGTTAATGGTTGGACTCGGTGATCTTAGAGGTCTTTTCCAAACTCAAGGATTCTGTGATCCTGTGCTTATACACTAGAAAGAAGAGGGAGGAAGGACATAGCAGTTAGGGCAGGGAAAACCTGGAAAGGTCCTGGGGCATCAAGCTCCTCTCTGTGCTGATTTGCTGTGTCACCATGGCTTTCTTAGATCTCTGCTTAGTTTCCCCACGTGTAAATGGTCCCCATGTGCTGGGAGAGACCGAAAGCTGGGAATGGATAGGGATAGTGTTTTATCTTTGAAGACCATGACCCCATTGTGGTAGGGACTTTTCTGAGCTCAGCAGAGCATCCCCCACCCCAGCTCACCTCCTTCCTACCCTGCTTCTCCCAGTGTCCCTCCGCTACGACACGATGACGATCGTCTGGATCTGCCTGACACTCATCGCTGGCCTCGTCGCCTTGCTGGTGGTCCTGATCTGCAAGAAGAGGTAAAAGTTTTCTGGAGGCCAGTGGGAGGGACAGGAGGGATGGGAGAACTTGAGCACAACTTTTTCTCCTTTCTCCATAGATCAGGGGTTAATAAGCAGCCAAGAGACTTCATTTAGGGGTCACCGCTTTCCCTGCGGCAGAGCCAGTTTCCAGATCTTCCCCTAATGCCAGCAGGCAGAATAGCAATAAATTAGTATATGTACACTATAATATATATAATATATGGATTATCAGTGGCACTAGCAAGAGCAGTACCAGTACCAGTACTACTACAAGGGCTGACTGGGTGGGCTGGAGGTAGGTCAGGAGGGGAGAGAGCTTTTTGCCATCAGACAGATCTAAGGAATTATGTGCTACGTGGCTGAGCCAGGCATGTGGAGCCCAGGCATACAGCCCAAAAGGACTGCAGCTTTGAGCACTGCCAAGCCTTGGAGAGCACCTGGAAAGTACCTCAATCTAGGCCAAAGTGTCAGTCCAGCAAGACACAGGGATGCAGCTCCCCCTGGGCTGCCCACAGCCCTGGCATGCACTGCCTTTCACCCTGCCTTTGGGATGCTTGTGGGAGTGAGGGACAGGGGCATCTCTTCTGACCCTTGTCCCCCCGTGGCAGGCACTGTGGGTACAGCAAGGCTTTCCAGGACTCTGATGAGGAGAAGATGCATTATCAGAATGGGCAAGGTAGGACTCTCCTTGTGAAGAACTTCAGCCCTGTGGGTGGGCACAGAGCTGGGCTGTTACCCCCTGATATTGCTATGGTTTCCAGGGGGAAGGGTTTTGACTCCTACCTGCTTCTGTGAACATGTCTTAGGAGAACTGAGAGGGGCTCTGATTTCAGGGGCATCCTGGTAATGGGATTGGAGGGTTGAACAATGTGCCATAAGACTGAAGCAGGATCATCCCAGACAGCAGGGATGGGGATGGGGGGGGGTGATGGAGAGGGACAATCACATGGAGAACACTTGGGAAGCCAGGTCCTGGGCTGCTCTGAGGAGACTGCTATGCCAAAGAGTGACTTAGGATTCCTTGGGCTGCACCCCTGTGACCCCTCAGCCTGTTGCCCCTCGAAATCCTGCCCCTGCCCATCATCTGCCCGGCTGCTGGGCGCCCCTCCTTCCCGTGGGGCTGCCCGAGAGAGCTGTTCTCCTCTCTCCCCTTTGAAACCTGGCAGTGAAGTTCCCTGAGTCCAAGTTCTATGTGGATCCCCACGCCTACGAAGACCCCTGCCAAGCCGTGCATGAGTTCACCCGTGAAATAGAGGCCTCCCGGATCAAGATCGAGAAGGTCATTGGGTCTGGTGAGTCCCGGGGCCCAGCTGCCTCTTTGCATCGTGTCTGCCCAGGGAAATTCATGATCTGAGGTTGTGCCGTGCCCGTGGCCCGCTGGGACCACGGCAGTGCTCAGCTAGGGGGCTTCATCTGCTCCTTTATCCCTGTGATATCAAAACCACAGATAGAGGGGGGGTTTTGGTGCGTGAAATGAACCCACTGGAAGCAGCCCTGGTGCCAGGGGGCCACTTGTCAGCAGGTGTGGCACCGACGGCTCAGGCTGACACAGCAGATGGCTCAGCCTGTCCCATGTGGGTGCTCCAACGTGCCACCCTGCTTTGAAACCTGGGGTGACAAGATGCAAATGAAACTGTGAGTGAAATGGTGGATTTTCAGAACAAAAGGGAGTTTTGCATAGGAACAGGGCTTGCAGGGAAGCGTGGGGCAGAGATGGAGCTGGAACTTCACTAGCAGCACCCCAAGGACTTAACCCAGAGCAGCATGAGGAAGCCTGGATGGGTGTCATCCTTGCTGCTCTGAGACTCCCACATTTGTTCATTAAAAGCAGCAAAGCAAGAGCTACTGTAATCACTGCTCTTGGCCCATCGCCTTTAGGAAAAGGCAGCAGAGAGAGGTGATTTCTGATGTTCCCACCCTTCCAGCATTGGGCAATGCTTTCAGAGGACTGAATCCTGGAGGGGTTGGAGGGGATTGAAATCCACAGTGAAATCCAGAGGGGCTGTGAGTGTGCTGGTAGACTGGACGATTCATGGTGTTGGTAAGTGAGCACGAGAAGCTGAGGAGCTCCCCGTGCCCTCACCTTCCCTTGTCTTGCAGGGGAGTCTGGAGAGGTGTGCTATGGCCGCCTGAAGCTGCCAGGGAAGAGGGAGATTCCCGTGGCCATCAAGGCACTCAAGGCAGGCTACACGGAGAAGCAGAGACGGGACTTCCTGAGCGAGGCCAGCATCATGGCACAGTTCGACCACCCCAACGTCATCCACCTGGAAGGGGTGGTGACCAGGAGTATGTGGCTGGAAGGGATGGTGGGGCAGAGCTGGGATGTATCTCCCTGTGGGCAACCTGAGGGATGTGGGTCAGGGCTCACTTTAGGTGCACTCCATCCCTCAGCTGCCCCGGTGGCTTTTCAGATGTCCATTTACCTGAGGTGCCCTCCACCCCACCCCTGTGCCATCTCTTACAGGACAAACTTCCCAGTGGTGGTTCCACACCTTGCTCCTCAGTGTGCTCCAGGTCAGGGTTATTGGTTTGGGAGATGTCCTACTCAATAGCGTTTATTTTAAAGGCTGCCTGTATTGAATCATAATTTGAAAGTCCTCCTTCAAAAAGGCACATTCTAATGCAAAGCGTTATGCTAATGGCATGCAAATTTCAGCAGGATAACAAAGCTGACCTATCCACATCAGTAGCACCTGGAGGGAGGGGGTACCTGACTGGGTTACTGCCACATCCCCACTGTTGTGGCAGTGGTGCCCAATGCAGGGGTGAGACCACTCTGAGGGGCTGCATGAGACCCACAGGCCTGGATTCATGTCTCCCCCAGTAAAAACTTGGCACTTGGCTTCCCAGAGGAAGGTGACTTCTCTGCTAACTTGACCTCCCTTGTCTTCTGCAGGCAAATTGGTAATGATTGTTACTGAATACATGGAGAACGGCTCGCTAGACACCTTCCTCAGGGTAAGGAGCAAGGTTGTGTTTTTATTCATTGCACATCCCTCTGGGCTGAGCGGCTGGAGGAGAGGCTGGTTCCTTGTCCTCAGCCTCACAGCCACTGCAAGCCCCATGGGAGAGCTGTGTGTGCTGGGCTCTCACCTCTCCAGCAGACACAGGCTCCAGGCATCACGTCTGGCTCCCTGGAGTGGCGCTGGAAAGGCAGGGACAACTGCCTGAGCACATGTCAGCGGCACTGAGAGGGCAGGATGTGGACAGGGGACAGGTGGGAGGTACTGGGGTCAAAGGAGGTACTAAGCCAAAGATGAGAGGCACTGGTTTAATGACAGCAGCAGCAACAGGGTGCTGGTGAAAACCACAAATGAAACTGGGGTTTTTTTTTTTCCTTTCCAGAAACACGACGGGCAGTTCACCATCATCCAGCTGGTGGGGATGCTGCGTGGCATCGGAGCGGGCATGAGGTACCTGTCGGACCTGGGCTACGTGCACCGGGACCTGGCTGCCCGAAACATCCTGGTCAACAGCAACCTGGTCTGCAAAGTGTCCGACTTCGGCCTCTCCCGCATCCTGGAGGACGACCCCGATGCTGCCTACACCACCACGGTGGGTGGCTCCCCTGTGTTGGTCCTTGCTGGCTGTTATTGCCCTGACAGATGGAAAAGTTAGAGACTCTCAGGTCAAAATAGGTAGGGCAGAAATGGCAGCGTCACCTCTGTGCTGACGTTTGGGCCAACAGCTCGAACCCAAAGAGCTTCGGAGCCTTTATGCATCGTCCTTCACACAGGGACATCCCAGAATGAGTGTGCAGTGAACAGAGAAGCAGGATGTGAGGGCAGGGAGTTGATAAACATCCTTGACCCACTGCTCCTATGGGCACATGTGGCCTACATGTCCCTGTTGGAGTCCTTCCCAAGACTGTGTAGCTCCGTCCACTCCTCAGCTATCCAAGAGCCATTGGTCCATAGGTTAATGTCCTGGTCCACTCTTCAGTATTGTGGCCACACACTAGTTTTAACATGTGACTCTGCCTCATTCATGGATGTGGGAAAAGTGGGAATTGGTTTTGTAACCTGTGATTTTGTTTTATGTGTCTGTGAAACCATTTTGAGATTTTTCTGACCAACCTGACAGCTCTGGAGCTAGATGTGCTCCTCCATGGGAGGTCAATGGAAGCAAAATCAAACATATTTTCATGAAATACATAAATTACATTAAATAGAAAGAGCTCTTTTTACTCCTCTTTGGCCATGAAAAGAATTAGCGTGCTCCCCTGGCACACCTCTGGTGGATGACATACCATTCCTGCCCCACATGCTCTGCACAGAACCCAATGTTCCCTACTCTACAACTTTCCTCTTTGGGTGGCTGGTAACCACATTTCCAGCTTAACTGTATTCTTAGTCCATATATTGCTGATTTTTGTCAGCGTCGTCCTTCAACTCAACACGCCATCCTCTTCAGCGCTCGCCTGCCAAAGCAAGGATGAACAGGGAGCACATTCCATCCCTTTCCTTGTCTGCTCAAGTCAGGCTCTCTGCCCACGCCCGATGTCAGCTCCGTGGTTGTGCACCCCGGTAGCCCTGGGGTCCACTTCATCACTTTGAATTCCTATAACTTGAGCACTGAGGGACAGAATTGCGCAGGAAGACCTTGTAAAATAGGTACAGTGCTCTCCTTGCTCTACTGGAAACACCTTGAAGTCATCCTTCACTTAACACTTCTAGGCTTCTCTCGTGTGGGTTTTCCTTCTCAGCCCTTTCCAGAAGACACCACCCCAGCTTTTTTGCTTGTCCCGGATGCAGAGGTCGGGGTGCTGAGCCCTGCCTGCTCTGAGCCTCCCTCCACCGTTGCTTGGTTTTCCAGGGGGGGAAGATCCCCATCCGCTGGACGGCTCCGGAGGCCATCGCGTTCCGCAAGTTCTCCTCGGCCAGCGACGTGTGGAGCTACGGCATCGTCATGTGGGAGGTGCTGGCCTACGGCGAGCGGCCCTACTGGAACATGACCAACCGGGACGTGAGTGGGCGCAGGGCGGCGCGGGGACCAGCCTGCCCCTCCTCCGGCCCTGCCCCAGGCCAGCCCAGCACGGGGCCGGGCAAAAGGGGCCCAAAGGTCAGCTCTTGCCTCTCCTCACGTCCCTGCAGGGCTGTGCACAGTGTGCTTGTCCCCTCCGTGGGGACGTCGGAGCGCTGTTCCCTCCCTGCGCTGCGCACTCTTTGCAGCCCCGTGACTCCTGGCTGCTGTTGGCAAGGTGACCCAAGTGACCAAACCTACCCTTTCCAATCCTGCCCCTTTTCCTGGGGACGCTGGCTCAAGCCCCTGGTATGAATGCAGGCAGGGAGGTTCCTGCCATCCTGGCTGTGTGCACCATGGGTGTCCCCAGCCCTGCCTGCTGCTCTGGACGAGCCTTTTGTGCTGGCTGGAGAGATTCAGCACACGTTGTGCCAAGTTTCCCAGTCCCTGGAAGGAGTCAGGGCGCTTCCCTGGGATCACTGCAGTCCCACTGCATGATCCTGCCAGACCCGGTGCCGAGGGTCCATCCCTTCCACTGCCCAGGTGAGGCTGCTGAGAGCTTCAGGCTGGCACCACCCAGCTGTAGGTTTTGGGCTTGTCTGAGTTATGTGAGGCCACTCTCACCTCAAGAGTAGCATAAAATCTGTACAGAAATCTAAGTTATAATCCTGAGAACAACCTGGGGTCAAAATTTCCAAAAGGAGGCAAAAAACCAAGTATTTTGACTCTGCAGAACCACAGGACTCCTTTTTTTTTTTTTTTACCTGTGGGGACTGTAAGCTTCTCCCTGCTTTGGGAGTCCTGAGAGGCCCCACTTTTTCTAGTGCTTTTATTATTTTAAAAGTGTCTTAGGTGACAGCAGGGCATGAATGCAGTGGCTTACACTACCTCCTCCACACAATTCCTTCAAACAGGGTTTCTTCCAGCCTTGCTGAAGAGTGGTAAGCAAGTGTGAGTCCAGCCCTTGTGGCTTGCCTGCTGGAGGGAAGCTGCAATATTTTAGGCCACCTGACCTCTAAATAGCTCTGCTGCCATAGCAGTGATTTCCTGCACAGAACAATTCACTGTGGTTGAACGTGATGCTCGGCTCTGCTCCCCGTGTGACGGCCCCAGCAGCTCAGGCATCAGGGATCTTCCCGTCTGGGGGAGGGCTGGGAGTGGGGTGGGGGTGCAGCTCCACTGCAGTGGTGTGGCTTCCTTGCAGGTCATTAACTCTGTGGAGGAAGGCTACCGCCTGCCCGCCCCCATGGGCTGCCCCACCACCCTGCACCAGCTCATGCTGGACTGCTGGCAGAAGGAGCGCAGCGAGAGGCCGCGCTTCTCCCAGATCGTCTGCGTCCTGGACAAGCTGATCCGCAACCCCGACAACCTCAAGTGCACGGCCACCGTCAACAGGTGAGGGCAGAGCGTGTGTGTGTTGTGGGAATAAGGGATGTTTCAGCTCAGCTCTAGCACTGACGGCTTCACTTGAGACCATGAACAGGCACAGGGCCCAGGGGCACAGGTTGTGGTGGGCAGTGGGGAGCTTCCTGCACTTCACTGCCTTGCTCCCAGCCGTGGCATCCCCATGCCAAGGTCAAGCATGTGCAGCAGTGCCCATACTCTGCCCTCAGCAGCCTGTGAGGGCTCTCTCTGTCCTGCCCTGCAGGGTCACAGGTGTGTGTGACCAGCTGGCCAAGAAGGCCAGTGCCACCTGGCTTGTACTAGCCATAGTGTGGCCAGGAGACCAAGGCAGTGACTGTCCCCCCATGCTGGGCACTAATGAGGCACCTCAAATCCCAGGGTCAGTTTTGGGCCCCTCGTGACAAGACAGACGTTGAAGGGATGGAGCGTGTCAAGAGGAGGGTAAGGGAGCTGGGAAGGGGTCTGAAGAGTCAGTCTTATGAGGAGTGACTGAGGGAGCTGGGGGGGCTCAGCCTGAAGGAAAGGAGGCTCAGGGAGCACCTTCTGACTTTCTCCAACTTCTTGACAGGAGAGTGGAGCCAGGTGGGAGTCAGGCTCTTCTCCCGGGGAACAAGTGACAGGTCAAGAGGAAACAGCCTCAGGTTGTGTCAGGGAAGGTTTATATTCGATATTGAGGGGAATTCCTTCATGGAAAGGGTGGTCAGGCACTGGCACAGGCTGCCCAGGCCAGTGGTAGAGTCACCATCCCTGGAGGGACTTAAAAGATGTGCGGATGTGGCCCTTGGGTCCACGGTTTAGTGGTAAAGATGGCAGTGCTGAGTTAATGGTTGGACTCGATGATCTTAGAGGGCTTTTCCAGTCTTAGTGATTCTGCGATTCTTCAGGTGCATTCAGGTGGACCTCACAGCCTGGTCAGCTCAGACCAACACCTCCTGGTCTTCTAACCCCTTCTGTCCTGCTCCCAGGTTCACCCAAACACACTCGGACAGGGGTCTCCTCGACCTGACCAGCTGCTTGACTGTGGAGGACTGGCTGGACTCCATCCGGCTGGGGCACTACCGGGACAACTTTGCCATGGCCGGGTACTCCTCCCTGGGCATGGTGATGCGCATGAACATCGAGTGAGTGCCAGAGAGCAAACAGCACTGGTTGAGTGTCCCTGCACTGACCCACTAGCCCCAAACAGTGACCGTTCTGCCTTGGCTGGCTTGCTCTGGTTGGTCCCTGGTGCCTCACCACATCCCTATGGAAATGGTGTTGAGGCCTGGGACAGTGTCCAAGGCCATGCTGAGCTTCGAGAGAAGCTGTGGGAGTTGCACTGAGAGGGTGTGAGCACCAAGTCACCTCCTGTGGCTCTCCAATGTCACCAGAGGCCCGTAGGTAACTTGGGTGCTTCAGGAGGTCACTCAACCCAACCTCCTGGTCACAGCAGGGACAGGCAGGAGGTTGCTGACTCCTTGTGCTTCTCACCTTCAATTCCCCTGCAAAAGGCATTTCTGGACCAGAGTGTGGCTGTGCCATAGGACACACCTTCTCTGGGATCACCAGGAAACAAATGGAGCTGGGAGTTACCTTGGAGCTTTTTGAGACCCCCGTGCACAGGACTGGCTCCCTGCCCAGTGCAGCCAGGCAGGGAGGCACCGTCCAGGCCTCAGGGGAAGTAGAAGGTCTTTGCCACATGACCAAGGCTGGGTTAAGTAAGGAGGGCAGGCGAAGATGTGTCTCACCATCCTCCTCCTCCTGCTGTAAGGAGCTTGATCTCCCACCTGTCTGGGGAGTTTCCAGGCTGGAACATCCGAGTAGTATCAGAAAAGAAGGCAACTATACCTGCTCCTACCCTGGTCTTACATCCCCCATCCCTCGCTGTTACCATTAGTAACAGGGCTGGCAACAACCTCTTCTGCCTCTAAGGAGACTTGTTCCCTGTCAAAAGGCTTGGAGCTGCTGGATGGTGGTCCCTGTGGCTCAGGAAGGACGTGCCAGTGCACACCTTGCAGGTGTGGCAGGTGGAGAAGGAGGCAAGGAAAGGGAAGACAGACAGAGGGGCTGTCGTGTGCGTCGATTGGGGGCTGTACACAGGGCCTTTGCTGTGGGATTGAGCTGATAGTGATCCTTGTTTCTCACGCACATCAGGGAAGCTTTTGAGTGTGGAAGGCTCATCATTCATCCGTCTTTCTGACTGGGTTATCTGAGGGCATCTCACTAAAACTGAATCCAATTTCAGAGCATCGATCTTGTCACCTCCCAGCCTGTCAGGAGTGATCCCCCTCCTGCTCCTGCTCCCCCCAGGGCTGTCACAGTGGCTCTGTCAGGAGGATGCGCCTGAGGGAATGGCAACCTCTCTGGGAGGATGCCCATGGACCAGCCTTGTGCTGATGGGCAAGGGGAGAGGAGCCAGGCCTGGGCCCCTGGACTGGTCCATGGGGTGCAGTTGTCTCCATGGGGCCTGGCACAGGTGTCTTTGTCTGGCAGTGTCTTTGTTCTCCAGGGATGTTCGGAGTCTGGGCATCACCATGATGGGCCACCAGAAGAAGATCTTGAGCAGCATCCAGGCCATGAGATCCCAGCTGCTGAACACAAATGGCCCCAGGAGACATCTCTGATCACCAGCTCCGCAGACACACGTTGGGCATTCCTTAACACTTACCCTGGCAAAGGGGCAGCGGGGTAGTGAGCGGGAAAAGGGGCACCAGACCAAGAGCTGGAACCCTGCCAGCATCTCTGATTTCAGCATGGGTGGAAACACGGCATTCCAGATACCTCGGTGGTCCTGCTGCCTCCTTCCCCCATCTGAAGGAGGGAGCAGCCTTCCAAGTGGGTTAGGGACACGTCATGTCTCTCTACTATGTCCCTGTGGGACTGGGGGTCTCCACACAACTGTTCAGGACGGGTGGAAACCCCTTCACACAGCAGGATGGTCCCAGCTGCACCTGCAGGTGGAGGGGTATCAGACACATCAGCAATACCAGGAGGAGTGGGACTGGGCTTGCCATGGCACACAGCTCCTTTGGATCAGGCAGCTGGGGTGTTCCTTGGATCTCTGAACTGAGCAGGGCTTCACAGGCTGCCACACAGCCTCCCAGTACCTCCCAGTACCTCCCAGTACCTCCCAGTGTACTCCAGCCTGGACATCCTGAACTGCACCAGCCTTCAGGTGACTTCACAGGCCATCTCTGCCAAGGAGGGCAGGGGACACAGTACAAGGTGGCAGTGCCAGGAACAGCTGGCTCTGCCTTCAGAGGAGACTTCCCAGTGTGGAGGAGAGTTGTCCAGGGCCTGCTGCCTGGAGCCTCAAGAAGTCCCCAGGGTGCAGCAGGACACTCTCCCCCTCTTCAATCCACCAGGACAGCTTCTCCCTGGATCCAGCACAGCCAACCAGGGCAGCCCAGGCACATCTTCTAGGGCCACAAGCTCAGGTTTCTCCACCAGCAGAACCATCCTGGCCTCCTCTAGAACAGAGAGGAGTGGGAGACTGTGCTCCCATCTTACATGATGGAGAGACAGAGAAACTTCTACCAAACTCTTCTTTGGTTTTATATTAACCCCAGAGAAACCCAAGAGCTGTGACACCACAAGGCTGCCTGTGCCCAGGGCTGCCAGGTCACCTGCAGAGTGGGGTCCTGCCAGCATTTCCAGCTGCAGAGTCCTGTGTCTGGGACAGGGGCTCTGGGCACAGAGGATCTCCACCACTACCCATCTGGTGACCCCAGTGACTGGGAGGGTGGAGGGTCCTCCACATCCCTCCTCTTCCCCACAGGAGTATCTCTTTGGGCAAGCTTGCCTGATGCCTCTGAAGACGTGTGGAGCTGGTCCGAGGCTGAGCTGGCTGCAGAGCTGCAGATGAACTGGGGAGAGGGGCAGGCTGTGGGCTGGGAAAGTTTTTTTTTGGGTGTAAATACAATTTTCTATGGGTTTGGGAACTGTTTTCTGAAATAGGAAGTTAAGTACACAAAAATGGTCTCAAAGCACAGAAGCCTCAGTTGTGGGGCTGAACTCACTGCAAAAAAAAAAATCTGCTGGGAACGTGGCTGGGGAGTGGGGGCTGGAGAGGAGAAGGGCTGGAGGGGAGCCACACTCACTGCCAGGATCCAGGCTGGCCCACAGCACCCCATCCTTAGCACTGGCACAGCAAACCCAATGCAGGTAGTGGTAGGACCTGGCTGTTCCTCCCAGGGCTGTTTGGGCACAAGGGGGGTGGGGGGCGGGTTAAAGCCATTTCTCAGCTGCAATAATCCTGGCTAAACCGGCCTTTCCAGGGCTGGCTTGGCTTTCCATGCAGGGCTCTTATGTCCTGATGGATTCTCTGACTATGGCGGGCACTTTACTTCTTCCTATGGAAGCTTTTTGTAACGGGGGACAAGATGCAATGTGCTGTTTCATTTCTATTGCACCCTGTGTCCTGCACTCGGCCCTGTCCCAGTCCCTCCCCACAGCTGGACAGAGTGACAGCAGAGTGACAGAGGGTCAGCCCAAGCCCTGCAGCACAGGGTGGTGGGTGCTGGCCGTGTCCTCCCTTCCCAACATTTGGGACTCCCTGGAGGGTGAGTCTGTCATGGACACACTGGTGAGAGCAGAGGTCGGACCAGTTGCCACAGATCTGTGTCCTTGGGGGTTTGCTGGGCAACCCTGGCCAGGTGGGCTGCAGGATCTGAGGCTGGGAGCTGCCAGATGGCCCCTTTCCGGGTGGTTCATGAGTCAGATCCTGCAGCGTGGGGTCACTGGGCTGCTCTCGGCTGCAGGGATGGCGGGGCAGGGTTTGCCTTTTATGTTCAGTGTGCACTTCCTCCTGGACAATAAAAATCCTTCTTCCCACAATCCGTCTCCTTGCCTGTTACTGTCCTGGTCTGTGCAGAGCTCCACCACTTGCAGTGAGAATAGAGGACACCCTGGCTGCTTCAGGGGGGCCAGCACTGGGATGCTCAGCCAGCCACCACCTTCCTCACCCCAGAAAGCCTCCCACATGTGAAGGATGCTTCCCTGGGAAGCAGGAGTATCCGTGGGGTGGGCCCATGGGGACGGGGGTGGTTTGTAGGCTTGCTGGGGTGGGGTGCTGTGCTGTGGGCTGGGAGAAGACTCTCCAAACCCACCAAGTCATTGCTGTGTGGGAGCATCTCATGCAGGAGATGATGCAAGCACAGGGTATCCTGCATGCAAAGGCTCCTCTGAACCTCAGGGGTCTCTTGCAGGTTTTCCCAGACCCAGGCTTGCCTTGTTCTGGAAATGCAGAAATTTTTTGAAAAGAAGGAAAAAAAACCCAACCAAACCAGTAAAACCTCTGTCCTCATCCCCTGAAGTCTGAGCTGAAGTATCGTGTAGGGGGCCTTGCAAGATCCTTCCTGTGGGTGTTTGGCTGTGTCCCAGCTGCCCTCCAGTGAATGAGCCTGGCAACCAGCATATGAATTGCAGGACATTTTCAGGAAAGGAGCATATTTTTCTTGCCATATAAAGCCAAAAGAGCAGCACAGCACAGGGCAGGTTAGAGTTAGTTAGGGTTTGGTTCAAAACATGTCACTGCCTGCTCAGGTGCTCTCAGCCTTTGTAACCCTTTGAGGATGGAGGTGACCATTCCAAGGCCCAGCTCTGCTTCCCACCCTGGCTGTGGGGAAAGGCCAGCCTGGCTGCCCATGGCACTGTGCAGCTGGGTCCTCCCAGGCCCTTCCTTCACCATCTCTCTATCAGGTTATCCTGCCAGCCCATCCAGAGCTTCCTTCCTCCCAGTCTCCCATTCCACCCTTCCTCTGGTGCCCCCTTTCCAGAAGCACTAGTCCCCAGGCTGGACAAGCTGCTCCTGGGCAGTGTCCCCTGTGCTGAGGGTTGAACTTACAAGCCCTGTGCTCTGCATTCCCCCTCACCTACCCCATTTCACTACTTACATTTCCCATCCCTACAACCCCATCCCTTCTCCTTTCCCCCTGTGGCTGCCCCATCCCTGCAAGTGTCCAAGGCCAGGTTGGACGGGGCTTGGAGCAACCTGGGCTAGTGGAAGGTGTCCCTGCCCATGGCAGGGGGGTTGGAATGAGCTGAGCTTTAAGGTCCCTTCCAACCCAAACCATTCTGTGATAAATATGGTTGGAAGGAATCTCTGAAGGTCACCTCGTCCCAGCCCTCCTCATGCCTGTGCAGTGCAAACCCCTGTGCAGGTTCTGCTCAGACTCCTACCACGTCATGCAGGCAGGGACAGCAACCACGTCACACCTTGCTCATGGTCCAGCAGGCACTGGGCACAGTGGGGCAGACTGGAAGTGCTGAGGCCTGTCCCACTTCACCCAGGGCACGTGTTCCACTAACTTATTTCAGTTATTAATAAAGGCATTATCCACGTTGTGCAGAATGCACAAGGTTTTCTTACATTTCTCGTACCCAAACATTTGATCTGTGGAAGGATCAGTGCTGGTGCCTGGCTCCTCCCAACAGGTTTGGGCAGGGGCAGTGGCACTCAGCCAGGCTGGTGTGTGGGTAGGGGCCCACAGCAACTACAGACCATGAGGACCATGCCCAGGGCATCACCCTGCTCACAGCTCCCAGGAAGACGAGGCAAGGGTGTGTCATTTTTAAAGATGTTGCCATGAAATCACAGCCCTGGCAAAGGCCCATCACTGGAGACACTTCTCCAGTACACAGGGCCATGTTTTCAGACCTCCTGCACTGCTCTGTTCCCAAAACTGAGCCTGACTGTACATGGGGGTGTCCCATCTGGCCAGGCTGGGGACAGGGACCCTGATGGCTGAGGGAGGAACCAGTTCAGCAGAGGAAATTAGAGAACCTGTCTGGGGGAAGGGGCTGGTCAAGAGGCAAACTCTTCCATCCCAGGAGAGATGATGGACACCCTGGCTCATATATACCAGCAAACAAACCCTTTCCCGTGCCAAAAGAGCCCTCAGGATTTTCGCTCCTCCTTCCAAGAGACTTTTATTCCAGCTTGCACCGCCGGGAGCTGGTCCTTCCCTAGCAAAACAGCTTTTCCTTTCTACTCACACCCGACATTACCCCAAGCTTCCAACAACTCATCTCTGGAAGCGTTTTCTTTCCAGCTGCCCGGGCCCGGCTTGGCTGTGCCATCGGCAGGCGAGGCTCTGCGAGCTCTGTGTGCCTGGAGGTGGCAGTCTGGACCTGCAGAGCACCTGCAGAGCCCTGCGTGGAGCTGCCCGCCCCAGCCCCGCGCCCCCGCCCCGCCGGTGCCAGCCCTGCGCGGGTTTGCAGGGTCAGACGCGCTCCGTGGCCGGCGGGAACAGATGGTGAACTCGCCTTCGGATTTACTGATATGATTCCTGTCTGATCACATACCAGCTCAGCCTGCCAAGGAAGGCTGTATTCCCAAAACACCTTCTCTCTCTGCTTTTAGCACAGTCGTTTAGCATCATGTCCAAGTAAATTACTCAGGATAATCCGATGTAAGATAGAAATATCAGCCCCAGCTGCTGCTTTAACCCTTGGAAGGATTACGGGTTAAGTTCTGCGTGGGTTTTGAAGTATCCCATAGGTCACATCTCGGAAACCACGATCAAGGAGTGAGATAGCAGCACAGCTCAGCCCAGGATGACAGGATTTCCTGCTCTGCCATCAGGACAGTGTCTCCCCACCTCAAGCAAGCCAGGCTCGGGGA